AAGCAGACATAAAGTGCATAGTAAATATTTTGCTAGTCCCTTTCTATCACATTTTTAAAAAGTCATAAGGAATACTCCTTATTGGGCATGCAAAATCCGCAACAATGGGTATACATTTTGTATCTGGCATTTCTGACATCTAAAGAAATATTTAAAATAAATTGAACACGGATACAGAATTCAGTACTATCTGGAAGAAAAACTATTAGATTCCTTCAGGGGAAACAAAAGGTTCCACCAAGTTCTGATCATAATTAAGGAATTAAAACTGAATTAAAGCTCCCATGCAGACTAGATCAGAAGAGTCCCTTGTGCTAGCCACCCAATGAATGGTTCACAGAAGTGGAAGCAAGCACTAGCCTGTAAATCCCGACATGTGCAGAGATAAAGATGATGGAATGCTATAGCAGTATAAGGCAGGTAAAGTAGCTGGTAAGTCTTTGGAAGTCGACCTAACTTCTTTTAGTCAGTTGGCGAGAACCCACATTAAGACGTGACACTAAGAAACATAAAAATGTGGGTGCCTGAGTGGCTCAGTGGGTTAAAGCCTCTGCCTTCGGCTCAGGTCATGATCTCAGGGTCCTGGGATTGAACCCCACATCGGGCTCTCTGCTCAGCAAGGTGCCTGCTTCCCCCTCTCTCTCTCTGCCTGCCTCTCTGCCTACTTGTATCTCTGTCTGTCAAATAAATAAATAAAATCTTAAAAAAAAAATGTATCACTGTCTAAAGTAAAATTTTAGTGGCTGTTTACCTCATCTTGCAGAAGTATTATATTTTATATTCATAATTTTTACTTTTTGAAATCATAATACTAAAAAAGACCTTAAAATTTTCAACTCAAATCCTCTACTCTTATAAATAAGTAAACCAAGGGCTACAAAAGGCAAGTCATACTGGTAATCAGGGGCAGAATCCAAACTCAAAGTCAGTTTTCTAGTCTCCCCAACTAGAAAACTGACCTTGAGTTTGGATTCAAGAGTTTTTCCCACTAGATTAAGAACTGTCTTATTGGGGCACCTGGGTGGCTCAGTGGGTTAAAGCCTCTGCCTTCAGCTCAGGTCGTGATCTCAGGGTCCTGGGATCGAGCCCCGCATCGGGCTCTCTGCTCAGCGGGGAGCCTGCTTCCCCCTCTCTCTCTGCCTGCTTCTCTGACTCCTTGTGATCTCTGTCTCTGTCAAATAAATAAATAAAATCTTTAAAAAAAAAAAAAAAGAACTGTCTTATCATAACATGCCTTATTAGAGTTAGGTTCTCCCTCCACACATGTATATGTATGTGTGTGTATATTTGTACACATACAATGTATGTGTGTATGTATAGATACACCCACATACCTACATACACACTCGTGGCACTGGAAAAAACCAGGGCTGTTCAGAAATATATTTAAAAAGTGTACCAGTTAATTGAAAAGCCTAGTCCTATGATAAGGTATTCATGTTTTCTGAATGACCCATTAAAACACCAAATCCCCATGTCTAGGTTTATATTTACCTTAATATATTAATTATATAAAGCATAATGGTTAAGCGCATGGGCTCTGGAGCAAGAGACCTCTTTGTAACCCCTAACTGCAGCTCTGACATTTAATAAGTTGTATAACCTGACAAATTTAACCTTTCTAACAGTTTAAACTTTCTTACAGTTTCCTCACCTGTAAAACTGAAAAACAGAACTGACCTGATATGGTACTCATGAGGGTTAAATAGATGATAAACGTAAAGGACTTTGCCAAGAACTTAGCTCTCATTCAATAATTTAGTTATTATCAATATTACTGCCTACTAATCTGCGGGTTGCCTACAAAAGTGCCCCAACAAAAGTTTTCTTTATATTTCTCACTCTCTCTCACACAAATACACACAATCCCAATTATATATTATCTGTTCTTCTGAACATAGAGTGTAGCAAACTGACAACACTGTTCAAGAGAATTCCTTTTGCTTTTCTTTTTTAGAGCTCAAACTCTTATCTCAAATTGCTTTTTAAATTCTAGATATGTCCATTCCCTATAATGAGAGTTTAGAATTTAAAAATACAAATTGTTTTCTGTCTTCTTGCACTTTTCCATTTTTTGGACAAAATGAGTTTGGCTGCCTAAATTCTGCGAAAGGAAATGCAATTGACTCAGAAAGAAAATGAATCTCCTTGCTTCCTACTGAGTACCCTCTTGGTGTTCAGACACAAAGGACACTCTCTATCTCATTTATGGTGACAGTGAGAGCAAATTATTTCCAAGATTTATTGTGCACTTATGTTTTAACTCTATTAGAATCTGAAATTAACACAATTATAAAAAGACCTTTATCGATACATATATTCATGCCTCAAATAAAGTATTTCCTCCTTCCCCACATTCCCTATAATGCGGAGTTTATCATAAGTATAGGATACTAGCAGGACAATATTAATTAAGTTAAAGCAACAACCTTTTGAGCTGTTTTGTTTCCTAAAAATAATTTAAGAAGCTAACTCATCTGGTTTAAATTCTTTTACTATGTATTCATGTTCTGTGATGCTTGCTGAAAGGATATAACATTTACATATGTTAATTTTAATAGTCAAATATGTCTAAACAAAACCTATTTTATTGTAAATCTCTGGATTCTCTTTGAAGGTGTTATTGTCTGGGTTCCTAGAGTAAACTGTAATTTCAGTTACAGAATGTATAATTTAATTTGAAAGTAAATCAATACTAGAAACAAATTATTTCATCATCATCTTCTTACAAAAGATTAAACAGCTACAAATTTTATTTTACCAGGACTAAAATGCATTAAATTACATTTCACTGACATAAGATCAAAAGAACCTCATAAATACAAAGCTGTATTTTACCAGAGTGAGGTTATAAGAAGCCAAACCAAAAATATTCCCTCTGGAAAACAAAAACTGTCTTAAGTAATTTTAAAACTCTCTTGACATTTGATCCTTTTTTATTTTTTTAAAGTTCATCTTATAAACAGAATCATTAAAGGTTGCTAGAAAACAAGCCTAAAGAATTAAAAATAAAGTTATTTTTTCCAATACGCAATGCTACTTTTTAGCTATCAAAAATGACTAAGAAATGTTCACATACTATACATTTGGCTATTTTTAAGTTGTTTAATTCTTCTAAAATTATTCTTGGTCTAAAATAAACCTAAGATTTATGAGATATAAAATGTGGTTAGAAGTAAATTGCCAATAAAAAATACCATAGTTTTAAAAGAAAATACAAAATCAAAATTAATAAATGTATGTTTTATTAGCTTAAACTGGTAATTTATGAAAATAGAACTGGCTTCTCTCAGAGATTAAAAATAATTTCAAGTCACCAGAATTTTATAAAACAGATGACACACTAGTCAAATATACTACTATGCCTAATCTCATGGGATTGGGGATTTTCTGAATATGCCCCAAATTACATAATATTGGGGGAAAGGGAGATGGTTTAAGGCTTTTGGAAAAATATTATATGAGGATCATTTTAAAAATATGCTGGAATTCTTCAATGAAAAGTATAAACAACAGAGTCAACGGTAGGTATCTCCAGACGCTGATTTCTTAAATGTCACCAGATTATCCATTCCACTAAGAAGTACTTTTAAATATCTGCAGCACACAGAGTATCAAGTTTTCAAATCCGTAGCTTTTACAGATATCTGTCCTGCTTTAACTGCTGCATATTAACACTGAAATACACATACCCAATTTATTAGAATCACTATCTTCCTCTAAAAGTCCCTTTTTATTTTAAAAAGATCTCACTAAATCTAAGAAAAATGTTGAATTAAAATATACACTTCTTTTTCCAGTATCCAGAATATTAAAATATTTATAAATATGGCTCCCCCAACTTACTTCGGCTTTATGAATGGTTTCATTTTTTCAGTGCTAATATAGTTCTGAACATACCCTCCTACCTAATGTGGGGAAAAAAAGCAATTATTTTAAACCTTGAACAGCAGCTAACAAATTAACAGTGATATTCAAGTAAACCTACTTTGTTTACACTGAAATCTAAAGATTATATAATAAGCTCTGACATTATCTTTCGAGCAATTTTCTATACTGTCAAAGGCAACAGAGACAACATACGTTTTAACAAGAGGAAAACAAGGAGTTAATAAAATGTATTTTCCCCTCAACTAAGAATTGCCTTCTCTTTTGTCAATATTACACGACATTCATCTACTGACAAAGGAAAAAATGAACACTTCACTTGCCTGCTTAAGAAACTAAATTGGGAGCATTACCAGTCATAGACTTAATTAAGTTATTTCTAGGGGAAAATATTTAAAGCAAAGAGGCTATTTACAGTTCATTGCCAACTGCTAAATTTTGGGGGAACAGGCCTGAACAAAATAGTCCCTATTTGTCCCTTGCCTTTTTCCCCACCACCCACCCTGCACCAAACCCCCATTGTTCTATCAAAAACTCACAGGTTAATGATATCTAAATAGCAACTGCTGCATTTATGTTACAGATCATCACTACGAAGAACTCTTCAGCATCACATTTACTTGCTTCTTTCTTTCCCCCAAATAAAATCCAAATTTGGTAATAAATCAATTACAAACTGGTAGGGGAAAGGATCACAGCTTCCCTTCCAGACTGATGGATGTCACTCCAGAGGCGTGAGGAAATCTCCTAGAAGGTTACCATAATAAATCGAACCCCCCCCCCCGAAAATCATTTAAACTGACGTTTTACTACAAATTTTTTTTAAAAACCTATAACCGAAACCCTTGAAAAGTATACAGCCCATGGAGTAGAAGCTTCTTTTCCCTATTCGCCACCAAAGTAGAACACAGAAGCAGCAGCACGCAGGATTTCGAGTGGGTTTGGATCCCTCGTACACCACTTCCTCCCCAAACCTGGCTAGCAGGGCCAGATGCTGGTGTCGAGGAAGTGGGAGACCGGCACGCCGGCACCCCGCTCTCCCTCCCGGCTACCTGCCTCGGCCTGCGGGAACGCCGCCCAGCGCGGACACCCGCAAAGACACAAACACTCACCCATCTTTCCTCTTGGCTTTGTAGACGTGACCATAAGTGCCTCGGCCAACTTTGCAGCCCTCGTATTCAAACAGGTCCTCGACCCGCTCCCGCTCGCTGCTCAGCTTCACTTTAAAGTCATAGTCCATTGTCACAGCCTCCGGGGCCGGGGAGCTGGGTCGGGGGGCCGGGGGGCAGGGGTGGGGACCGGGGAAGCACCGGCAGCCGCAGCCCCCGGGAACCCGCCCGCTCTACACCCGGCGGCCGAAGAACCAGCCCGACTGATGCGGCAAGAGCAGGAGGAGGCCCCGCGAGAGCGCCGGGGACATCCAGGGGGACGGCGGGGCAGAGGCCGGCCGAGAGCGTGGGGGGACGGGGAGGTTCCCCCGGGCGAAGGAGAGCAGAGGGACGAGGGCTGGGGGTGGGGAGCGGCGTCTCTGCCCTTGTCCCCGCGGGTTCCCGGGGCGCCGGCTCTCCTGCTCGCTCTTGCCGCGCGTTCTGCTCCCGCTGCGGGGAGCGGCGGGGCGGCCGCGGCCGGCTCTCCTTCTCTTACACTCGCACTCACGCCTCACCCTCTCACACACACGCTCACACTCACTCACTCACTCTCTCTCCCATACACTCAAACAGAAAGGCAGCGCCGCACAACAGCCGGTACCTCCTCAGAGAGAGGAGGGAGGGAGGGGACTCGTGGAACACGGCCACGGCTGTCGCAAAAACGTCGCGAAGGCTCGGGTTGCCTCCGGGCTTCCCTGCAGCTTGGTCCGCGGCTCCGGTCGGGTCTCGCCGGGGCCCGCACCTCGAGGACCCGGTGCAAGAAGCAGGGTAGCCACTGCCCAAAGCTGCCGCCAGACACACCACGTGGACTGTCCCGACGCCGGCCAGGGCCCTAGACTACAATGCCCAGAATGCACAGGCCACCGCCGTTGCCGCCCCTTCTATGACTCCACCCCACACAGTGGTAATACGGGAGCGTTGCATGCTGGGATCAGTAGTCCAAGGGGAGCTGAGTTTCAATAGCTTGGAGGAAAAATAATTTTTATTTTATTGCAATATCGCTAGAGTGTTATTTGGGCCATAAAATTAAACAGAGAAATTTACGTGCGAGGGAGGCTAGTTTGCATTAGAACCACATTTTGTTCCCCTGCCGAACTCCAGATGTGAAAGGGCATCATCATTATCAAAAAGTCTGTATGTTTGTAAACACCTCGCGGAATATTATTTGGTGTATTCTTGTCGTTCACAATCTGATAAGGGCTGCACAATGACACTAACATATTGACACATATTACAAACATGAGTGAAAGTGAGGCTCTGGATTTCAGCTCAGGTCATGATCTCAGGGTCATGAGATCAAGCCCCAGGTTGAGCTCTGCATTGGGTGTGGAGCCTGCTTAAGATTCTCTCTCTCTTTGCGGGACGCCTGGGTGGCTCAGTTGGTTAAGCGGCTGCTTTCGGATCTGGTCGTGATACCAGCGTCCTGAGATTGAGTCCCACATCAGACTCCTTGCTCGGCTGGCAGCCTGCTTCACTGTCTGCCTGTTTGCTTTCTCTCTCTCTTTGACAAATAAAGAAATAAATCTTAAAAAAAAAAAAATTCCCTCTCCCTTTCCCCGCTCTTTAAAAAATTCTATAGTTTTAAGATGTACAATGTGATGTGTGTGTATATATGTCTGTATACACACACACACACATATATGTATATATACAGACATAAATAGTATTATCGTAGTCAAGCTAATTAACAGCGTTATTTCTATCAGTAATCCTGGGGCAGGAAAGGAAGCCAGCCTTGGACTAGGGCAGAGAAAGGCCTGCTTCCCTCTCTGAAGCTAGGGTGGAGATGAGGAGCTGAACTCCAGGTTGGGATAATATGGTGGTTTGAGGTAAGCAAAACACAGCATCAGGATGGAGAGCTAAGGAAGAGATAGACATTAGGACTTTTGAGGGAGGTTGGCCAATGTCTTAGGAGAAGTAACATCTAATATCCAATTTTAGGTTTTTCTTTTCTGTGTGGTAATGCCCTCCTGTCATCTCCAGGTTATCAGCCTGGTCTTACCTGTGTCCATGCTTGGAGGAAAAGAAAGGGCAAAAGCCCGAGATTCAATTATGAAATATAAAGAGTGGCCTGCAGAGCCAAAGCCATGAGCTAGGAAAGGCTAGGCACATGTTATATTTCCAGAAACTTGAGGAATGGAATCTTTTTAGAATGGGCTTCCTATAGATCACAGAATGAAGTTCATACTTAACTGTTACTTCAATGAATTGAACATATCAGGAACATGGAGCTGTCATTTCAATTTGATTTTCAATTTCAGGTTATACTGATATCACATGGCTTTACACGGTCACTGGAGGTCATGATGGTGCAGAGTCTCTGACCCTCATTGGTTCACGTTCCAAACAATGTGCAAATAATGCTCACGCTTTTCATAAATGTGGTTTTTATTTACATTCTAAATTTAACATCTCCGGTCTTAACATGCCTCCCAAACACCAGCCCCACATTTCAGCTACCTCCTGTTCAGCCTAAGGGAATATTCTGCTGCCATTTCAAACTTAAAATTTCTGAAAATGATCATACTGTGCCCCAAGCCTCGCAAATCCAGTGAATAGCAATGCCAAGAGACAGATATTCTGTCGTTTTACTCTCAGTCCTAGGAGTTCATTAGCTGCACATTGTTCTTCATGCTCCTGCCAAATATGCCTTTGTCTGGCCTGTCCTCAAAGGCTGGATGCTTCCTCATACCATCTCTGACCTTTACAGTCCTACCCATCCTCCAAGGTACAGCTCAAATGCCTAACTTAGTCATGAAGCTTTTCCTGGTTCTTACAACTGAATATAATCCCCCTCCTTTTTTTTTTTTTTTTTTACACCCAGGGCTCCTACTCCAGCCCTAGCGCCATTATACTTTATTTGTAACTCATGTAGAAACATCACAGCTTTTATGTACTTTAAAAAAAAAGTCCTTTAATGAACACCTTAATGACTGAGTCTCTGACTTACTCATCTCTGTATCTCTTAAAGTGCCCAGAACTTGGTTGCATAATTATATTTGATTAGTATGTGTTGAATTGGATTGATTTCTATAAAGGCTGAAATAGACTTTAATGGGGGGTGGGGAACAGTCATTTTAAAATATTTAACAGTTTACCTCTGTTTTGCCTCTGAATGTGTATTTTTTGCAGTGTGCTCAAAAAGAATTTGATGCTGTGTATAACATGATGTACTGAAGTGGGTACAAGCCCAAGTGGGTCTTCTCAGAGTTGATCACCTCTCATCTCTACCACTTTTGTTTTCTCGATTGATATTAGAGTGTGCTTTAAGCAGAAAGTTAGTAACCTTCCATTCTGCAGGTGGAATGTTCAGCATCTTCATCATCAAAAAGCACATATTAAACATCTACATTTGAGTAGCATTGTACACAAGAAAGAACAAGTTAGGTCAATCAACACTCTACCCTTTTAAATTTTTACAAAGAAAATATTAATGCAAAATTGCTCAATTGACTCCATATGCACCCAGAATATAATTTAATTTAAAACTTAGAAACGACCAAAACTGAAAAGCACTTCCAAAAATAACTTTCTTTCTCTCCTTCATCATGTGAATGTGATTTGTTCTTATAGACTCATTTTCACATGACTGGAAAGATGACCACTAACAGTCGCCGAATTTGTCATCAGGCGCCTATCATTAGAGAAGAACTGACTCTGTTTCTCAACTCCGGTTCTAAAAATCACAGGAAGGACTCCAGCCCAGCTAGGTTGGGGGCCATTCCTGGACCCACCAAGTGCACCCACGGGGCAGGGTCATATAAAAATATGAAAGCTCCTTCATTCAGAGGGATGAGGAAGATGGGGTGGGGAGCTCACAGGAGAAGGGAGAAGGCTCTAGGTACGGTGAAGTTTCTGAAACAAAGCAATGTGATGGAAAGTGAGCCCGAAGGAGATTACTTCAGATTGCCTGGATGGTCAAGGATTCGCTGAAGTAATACTTAAGTGAGACCTGAATGATGAGGAGAAAAACCTGCTAAGGTGGGAGATCAGGGTAATCCACGTGGATGGATGGTGTACAGTGAGTGCAAAGGCTTTAAGCTGGGGGCATCTGGGTGGCTCGGAGGGTTGAGCCTCTGCCTTCGGCCCAGGTCATGATCTCAGGGTCCTGGGATCGAGTTCCATATCAGGCTCTCTGCTCAGTGGGAAGCCTGCTTTCCCCTCCTCCTCTGTCTGTCTCTCTACCTACTTGTGAGCTCTCTCTCTGTGTCAAATAAATAAATAAAATCTTTTTTTTTTTTCAAGGCTTTAAGCTGGGAAAGGAGTCTTTTTTTTTTTTAAGATTTTATTTATTTGAGGAGAGTGAGCAAGAGAGAGAGCATGAGCAGGGTGGAGGGACAAGGGGGAGAGAGAGAAGCAGACTCCCTGCTGAGCAGGGAGCCTGATGCAGGGCTTGATCCCAGGACCCCAGGATCATGACCTGAGCCAAAGGCAGGTGCTCAACCAACTGAGTCATCCAGGCACCCTGGGAAAGGAGTCTCGTGTGATAGGAGTGTCACGAGTGAGGGGGGAGGTTGTGTGAGAGAAATACAAAGAGGTAGGCAGAGACCAGATTATACAGGGCCTTTTAGACCATAATAAGGGGCTTGGATTTTATTTTTAGGGCAATAGGAAGTCATTGGAAGGTTGTACACAAGGGAGCCACCAGATGTGATCTATACTTTAAAAAGCATATCCCAGCTGCTATGTTAACAATGGATTGCAGGAGACAAGATTGAAAGAGAGACTGACAGACAGATGGACAAGTAGGTACAGCACTTGATGCTCAGTTGGTTGTGAGGAGAAGGAAGGAATCAAGAGGACTCCTGAAGATGCTGCCACTTATTGAGATGGGAACGACTTTACAAGGAATAAGTTTAGGTCGAAGCAAGATACAAGACCAGCCCAGATTCAAAGAGGGGCAAGCATACTCCCCTCTTGGTTATAGGAAGGGTACAATACCGTCGGTTTTTTGGTTTCTTTCATGGGTACATATAAATCTGTGGACTTGGTAGAAGTTGAACAAGTTCCTTTGCAAATGGCTTTGGTTTTCTCTATAAGCTACAAGAAAAGTTTACCTTTGTGAGTGAGGAGACAGGAGTGGAAGGAGAAATCGGTGAGATCTTTTCATGTCTGAAAAGACT